GGACCCCTTCACGTTCGAAGCACCGTCTGTAAAGAGGTTCCACACCCCCGATGATGTACCTGACTTTAATAATAGTTTCTTTTCGACCTCAGGTACGAGGGCTGGCATAAATTCGGCCACGAAGTCCGCTAAGATTTGAGACTTGATGGCCGTTCGGGGTTGATACTCGATATCATACCCACTAATCTCGACGGCCTATTTGGCCAACCGGCCCGAAAGTTCGGGCTTATGCAAAACATTGCGAAGGGGATAAGTAGTCACCACACAGATCGGGTGACACTGAAATATGATTTTAATTTCCTAGAGGCACTTATTAGGGCAAGCGCTAATTTTTCTAAGTGTGGGCACCGGGTCTCGGCCTCACCTAAAGTTCGACTAACATAGTAAATAGGAAATTGCGTACCTTGCTCTTCTCGAACTAGGACCCCACTTACCGCAATTTTCGAGACTGCTAAGTACAAGTAGAGTTGCTAGTCCGCTTTGGGAGTATGAAGCAGTGGCGGGCTCGAGAGGTATCGCTTTAATTCTTCCAGTACTTGTTGGCATTCCGGGGTCCATGCAAAATTGTTCTTCTTTTTGAGCAGTGAGAAGAACCTGTGACTCTTATCTGAAGACCTCAATATGAATCGGCCTAGGGTGGCTATGCGCCCTGTTAATCTTTGTATGGCCTTAACATTCTCCACGGTTGTGATATCTTCGATTGCCTTGATTTTATCGAGGTTGATTTCGATCCCCCGATTTGATACCATAAAGTCGAGGAATTTGCCCGAGCCGACCCCGAATGCACATTTCTCCGGGTTGAGTTTCATGTTGTATTTCCTCAATATATCGAAGGTCTCCTGCAAATATGTCAAATGGTCCTCTGCTCGCGGGGACTCAACTAACATATCGTCAATATAAACCTCCATTGATTTACCTATTTGTTCTTCGAACATTCGATTTACTAAGCGTTGATAAGTGGCACCAGTATTTTTATTCTAAACGGCATTACATTGTAACAATAGGTGCCATACTTAGTGATGAACGAATTCTTTTCCTGATCTTCCGGGTTCATTTATATTTGATTGTACCCGGAGTAGGAATAGAGAAAACTAAGGATCTCGTGACCGGCCGTGACATCGATCATGCGATCGATATTCGACAGAGGAAAGGAGTCTTTAGGACATGCTTTGTTTAAATCTTTATAGTCTACGCACATTCTAAGTTTATTTCCCTTTTTAGGGACTACGACTACGTTCGCTAACCATTCAGGATATTTTACTTCCCGAATGGATCCTATCTTGAGAAGTTTGTTTACCTCGTCCTTGATGAATGCATATTTTATCTCGGACTGAGGCCTTCTCTTTTGTTTTACCGAGCGAAACTTCGGGTCCAAGCTCAGTCGATGTGTTGTGATCTCCGGCAAGATTCCTGTCATATCTAGGCGGGACCAAGCAAAACAATCCATATTATTGATAAGAAATTTAATGAGTTTTCCCCTGAGTTTGGGGGTTAACCCCGTACTCAGGTATACCTTTCGATCGGGTAGATACTCGATCAGTATGACTTGCTCCAACTCTTCGACTGTCGATTTTGTGGCGTCAGAATCCTCGGGGTTTATGAAGGATTGAGGGGTCCAGTATTCATCGCCCTCGTTTGTTTCCTGCTTCTCCGACTGGGTCGAGGCTGGTGGTTGTGATTGCTATTTAGCTTCCTGTTCTCCTTTGGACTCCGATCCCTTTGTTGACGAAAGCGCTGATACCGGTATTACTTCATCGACTGCGAATATCTCTTTGGCAGCAGGTTGTTCCCCATACACCATTTCTACTCCATCTGGTGTTGGGAACTTCATCATTTGGTGAAGGGTTGAGGGGACCGCCCTCATGTTGTGAACCCAGGGTCTTCCGAGCAGTGCGTTGTACCTCATATCACCCTCGATCACATGGAACATTGTTTCTTGAATAGTTCCGGCTACATTTACTAGTAGTATGGTTTCATCTTTAGTAGTTTCACTCACCATGTTGAATCCATTGAGAATCTGAGCTGCGGGTATGATCTGATCTTGCAGGCCGAGCTGATCCACGACCCTCGATCGAATAATATTGGCCGAACTTCCTGGATCAATTAAAACATGTTTAATCTGAATTTTATTCATAAGGATAGAGATTACCAAAGCATCATTGTGGGGTTGTGAGATCCCTTTTGCTTCCTCATCATTTAATGATAAAGTGCCTTCTGGCACATAGTCACGAGTTTGTTTTTCCCTGGTGATTGATACTTTAGTGCGTTTGCACACGGGCCCTTGTGAAATATCGACCCCACCAACGATCATGTGAATCACGTGCTGAGGTTCTTCCTGCTCATTTTTCCTGTTTGCATCCCTGTCTCTGAAATGGTTTTTTAGCTCGGTCGCTCAAGAATTCGCGAAGGTGGCCCTCGTTGAATAGACGGGCCACCTCCTCCCTTAGTTGCCTGCAGTCTTCGGTTTTATGACCATGTGTACCATGGTATTTGCATATTTTATTGGGGTTTCTTTGGTATGGATCAGTTTGTAGGGGTCTGGGCCATCTAGTATCTTTGATTCTCCCAATGGCTGACACAATACCTGATGCGTCGATACTGAAGTTGTATTCTGATAATCGTGGTGCTTCTATGGGATCGGCATGTTTATCGAAGCCGCTTTTGCTCATGAGCCCTTGAGAGCTCTGTCCTCGATCGTTCCTTCGATCATTTCGGATGGGATTGCGTCCTGGGCTGCTGTTCTCACGATCTGCGTTGTATGGTTGATACCGATCTCTATTCGACCGGGGTTCTCTATCGATATCCCTTTGAGTTCTACCGACGGGCATGTTTAGATAAACGGAACCGGAAGGGGTCCCCAATTGATCATCCTCGACCCTGATCTTTGACTGGTAGCGATTATGTACATCAGCACAGGTTACCGCTGGATATTCAATTAAATTCTGCTTTAGCTGTCGTGATGCCACCGAACTTCGTTCGTTCAAACCCTGAGTAAAGTCTTGAACAACCCAATCATCTGTGACCGATGGTAGTTCTATGCGTTCCATTTGGAACCGAGATACGAATTTCCTTAGCATTTCGTTGTCTTTTTGTTTCACCTTGAAGAGGTCTGACTTCCTAGTTACAACCTTTATTGCTCCGGCATATGCCTTTACGAAGGAGTCTGCAAGCATGGCGAAGGAATCGATAGAATTAGGTGGTAAATTATGGTACCATATCATAGCTCCTTTCGACAAGGTTTCTCCAAATTTCTTCAGTAAAACATATTCAATCTCATCGTCTTCCAAATCATTCTCTTTTATTGCGCACGTATAAGAAGTGACATGCTCATTAAGATCGGTGGTCCCATTATACTTAGGAATTTCTGGCATTCAGAATTTTTTCGGAATGAGTTTCGGAGCTGCACTTGGAGGGAAAGGCATCTGTACAAATTTCTTTGAATCCATTCCCTTTAAAATCGGCGGTGCCCCCGGTATTTGGTCAACCCGGGAGTTGTATGTCTCTACTTTCTTGTCATTTGTCTCGATTTTCTTTTCTCCCGATTGAATCCGTTTAGTGAGCTCCTCGAGCATTTTTATAATGGCGGGGTCAGTCCCCGATTCGTTGGCATTCGAACTTCCGGCATAGGCGCGATCCTGTGTTCGGTGCTGATTTTGTAGTTGTGCTATAACGACTTGTTGAGCCTGTAACATTTCGAATATCAATTGGAGGCTAACTCCATCGTCTTCTCCGCCCTGCATACCTCGACCACCTGATCGAACTTTCCTGCGTACGCTACCTTCAGGATCAACGCCCAAATTTGTATTTAGGGCGATATGTGAACTGACATCGACGGGATTTGCAATTGGTGCTCCCTCGAGGTCAGCCTGAGGCACCTCGATTCCTGGGGCGGCTACATTGTCATTTTTCCCGTGAAATCCGATGTCGTTGTCACCATATGTAGGTGTTACTTGTGAGTTTGACATGTTTATCCTAAAAATAAAGATTCTTACGAGAACAAGTGTAAAACAGTGTGTGTTATCGAAATTAGTATTAAGCAATCACTATTATCCTTAGCCCCACGGTGGGCGCCAAACTGTTTACCCTTAAAATTAGATAACAATTAAACTTATAATATGGTTCTAAGGACACGTGATTTCACTTAATACCAATTGATAAATGAAAATTAATAACAGAAAGGAGCTATAAAGTAAAGCAAACCAGTGTTGAAACGGAATTCAACCCTCGAGATAGGGTGCCCTCGAACTGATTGATACCAAAATAATTAAAAATAAAGCAAGATGATGAACAAGAGAGTATAAGTTAAAGAGAGAGCGTTATATTGGCTTTTTTTTTTTTTATGTGAGAACAACCTGTCTTACAAATGGTTAATACTCTCATTTAAATAGTAAATGAGTTCTACTTATGGTATAACTCTAATTACAGAAGGAAATTCCATGATTAGCTAATTAACTGTTTTCTGTTTTGATCCGTTCCGAGATTTACGCCATGATCCTCGACCAGTCTCCGAGATTTACGCCGTGATCCTCGACCAGTCACGGATATCTCTCCTTTCTGTTATTTTGCTATCTTCGATCTTGTTTGTCTCGTTTGGCTTCGATCGCTACTAGCCTCGATCTCGACAGGTACCTCGGTTCTGAACTCGGTACCTAATCCTCGTGATTTAGTCTGTTCCGTTACGAGGCCGTCCTTCGATACAATCTCCCGATCTCGGCCAAATAGTAAAATCGGATGGGTCCGATTTTAACCGTATACAATATTCTATTTGTACAAAGTGATTAGTTAGCTTGGTAAATTGATGCTTTCCATACCAAAATCTTTGATCAGGAGCTAATAATTAGCAATTACTTGACATTCGTATAAGTTTTTTGCTGAAATACGTATTGCATTTACATTTGTTAATTTGTCCAAGTTTAAATCTAAAAGTAAGGTATTTTTGCGAATTTTCCGAGAAACTTCCGAATAATCCCCCGAAATATTTTCGACTATATGTCAATGATGAAGGCAATAATAGCCAGTTCCAACTTGGACAGATATTGCAATTCGATTTTCGCCCCGAGAGTTTTGTTCTTGGCACAGTTGACCCAACTCTCTTCTTCTGCTGAGTTTACTCATCAATCTCCTCCTGATCTTTTTCTTCTCCGTGCGAAATCTAGTTTGTAAGTGCCCTTCTTTGCCTAACCCTAATCCCCTTTCCCATTGTTTTCATTTGTTGGATGTTTAATTCTGAATTGTGACTTTTACAAGTTATATAGGCATGCTTGTTTGCTTCCCATATGATAATTTGGCTTTTAAATAGTTACTGTTTATACTAACCTGCCTTTTCGTATATTGTTAAAAGGGAATTAGATCATAAAAAGATGATTTTTTTCATTGTGTTGTGAGTTTCAGTTCATGGAATATTATTATTAAGCGTATGAATCCCCTTTCAATGGTTTTCATTAGTGGAATGTGAATTGTGTTTCAATTGTTTTGTATCTCTGCTCCAGAATGCGTATAGGTTATCCATTACCTGATAAACAATCTTTTTAAGGTTCAAAAATAATTTTTTTAAAAAAGAAGATCTTTCCCTTGTGTTAGGCTATAGTGGAAACCCTCAAATCTAGAGCTTATGATCTTAACTTTCAAGCCATTTCCAGTTAGTGGAACTGCTTGACAGTGGATTTTAATTTTTAAATAAAAAAAAGCCTGATTCGCATCATTACTTTAAATGCATCAGAAAAGCCGCAACTTGGATTCATTTGTGCCATTAGTTGATATGTGATCTTGTTGCTTCTTCGAGTGTCATGATTGCTCTGAAGTTGTGATGGTTTACTGATCTACCTTCCTGATAATTTCTCTCAAGGGAAAAGTGTATAAGGGCGAGGTCATTAGTTTGAACTCATGCAAAAATTCCATTCTTGTAATCATAACTATTGACTGTGGCTAAAAAGTAAAAAAGAGATATTGAAGTATTCAATTTCAGCTTCTAATCTTTTGCACTTTAAGTATCCTAATTTGTCTAAAGTACTCCTTGAACCCAAATCAACCAATATGCCTAAAAATGTCCTGAGATTGGGGGTTAGTGTGTAAAAGAAATCGATATTAGTATCTTTGATAATTATTAATTTTCTTTTCTGGGATTTTTAATCATAGCATAGATGAGTTTATCCAAGTATATTTTTTCTCTATGAAAATTAAATCCTCACTTCTTTTTTTCAGCTAAGTAACTTAGCAAAATGTCCGGGCAAAGTCAACGTTTGAATGTTGTCCCCACAGTTACGATGCTGGGAGTTATTAAAGCTCGCCTTGTTGGAGCAACAAGAGGCCATGCTTTGCTGAAAAAGAAAAGTGATGCTTTGACTGTGCAATTCCGTCAGATTCTAAAGAATATAGTGTCAACAAAGGAATCAATGGGAGATGTCATGAAAGAATCCTCCTTTGCACTGACTGAGGCAAAATATGCTGCTGGTGAGAACATCAAGCACGTTGTCCTTGAAAATGTCCAGAATGCAACTCTTAAAGTTCGATCTCGGCAGGAAAATATTGCCGGGGTGAAGCTCCCCAAGTTTGAACATTTCTCTGAAGGAGAGACCAAGAATGACCTGACTGGATTAGCTAGAGGGGGG